AGACCAAGTTGCGAAAACAAGGTCAAACAACGAAAGGAGACTGCGACCACACAAAAGGTCACATCATCTTGGTATTTATACCTTAAGATTCCACTTCAGTGAATTCCGCACGTGAACAAGGCTTGGTGAATGTCAGGCATGATGTCACGGGCCAGCCCATTCTGTACTTCGTTTTCTGGGAGGCAATGAGGATTATGTTCCGATCCTCCAATCCAACACTCAACTGAACTTGAAGCAGATCTTGAATCTGCAATTCGCAATCCTAACGACAACCAATTAAGATGGTTGAAACTTAACCCCTACCTGTTTTTACTGAAACTGGCTTCCGTATTGGACTACCAACACTGGCATAGCTTCCTCTTGCGTTCAGTCTATCCCTTGAGCTCCTCTTCATATTGTTCTATACCCGTCCTTGATACATACGTCTCCTTTTGGCTGTCCTTAAGGAGTACTAAATCCCTCCAAGTTCTCTTAGGCAGAAAGCGGAATTCTTGCTAATTCTTATTTCTTCTTATCTATGCTTCAAAGAGTCCCTTAGAAACCGGCATATCCACGGATTCCCTGAGCTTCCAGTTGAAGCCTTATTTTCGAATTGACCAAAATAGGCTGAAGCAAATAGCTCTCATTTGTTCTAAGCCCAATCACAGCTTTTAGAAGTGTACCTGCAAATATCAATCTATTAGTTTAACTTATTTTGGGAGAATCTTTTCGTTAAAATGATAGATAATTAAGCATCTCTTGTCCATATTCTTTTCACAGTTTCATTAAGGGAGGTAATATTATTACTTTTCATAAACGATAGAAAATGCATAAGTGCTTTATTTCATGCATTAATAGTTGGTACAACAAGTTTATTTTTCATTTGTTAGCAGGGTTTCGAGACTACCCTATTTCATTTATGTAATAAAGGACTAGTAGTTGAATTTTTCCACAATCATGTGATTATATCTGATTATTTCTATTAAATTTCACATAGCGTTGCATTCTCCCAAAAGGTATTCTTATCCACTGCAGTCAACCCTGGATTAGAAAAACTTTTGGGAAAGCAGGGTTATGTGAAATTGAATAGAAATTTTAGCTCTATTCATGTCATTGTGAGAAAATTTAACTCCCAATCCTTCATTACCTTAAACAAAATAGAGTGAATACAGTTCATATAACACAATGGCCAACTAAAGCATTGGTACACTAAATGAGTACCCTATCCTATCCCGCCTTGAGACGAGCCCGTCTAATAGGCTGAATCGGCTCCTGGACGGAAGCGTCGCCTAGACCGTCGTCATGGTTGCATGTATAGCTTGGATGGGGCAGTGATTCGAGGCTCGTTACCTTTTCAGAACGCGCGATGAGGAGAATGCGATTACCTGATGCTCCCGAAGTCGACTCATTACCACATCCGGCCAGTGACAATTCGGTGAAGAGGCGTCTGGCGGACTGCCAAATAACTCGACTACAAACCAACCTATCTGCTGTCATGGCAACCAAACTGTACTTTACGTCGGCCTAGCTTATGCTGTCTGTGACCTCAAACGCCACATAAATCCGGCCAGGCTGAGAAAAGATGACAGTGTTTGCTGTTAAAGATATTTTTCCACTTTTTCGACAGACTACTTATCGCCGAAAGTAGGCAACATATCGACAGGTCCCGATGATTCAGTTATTTGGTCGAGCTTAGCTCCTTGTCACTGGAAAATCGTCTTGTGCTCAAGGTTTTCAATGAACTCCAGATTGTACAAATAGTTTAAGCCTGCCTGTGAATTGCCCATACTTTGTGACGGGCTGCAAGCACCGGAGAATGTCTGATCGACGGCAGAACGTGGCAGAAAATCCACTCTGTCACTCAGTTACACTTTTTCCCTCACCCTAAACGAAATAAGGTAACAACATTTCATTTATACTCAGTGGCACTTTCGTGGCACCATTCCTTACGGAGTTTGGCAGTTGAAGATAGAAGGTGGAGTGAGAGATAATGAGGCAGATGAAGGACTTCACTGCATCCCAACATATTCCATTACAAATGCCTTTTGCCGTCTCCTCCTCCTCCACCTCGATGATATTACTTATATTACTTATATTCGTTATGACTAAGATCCTATTCAGAAGCTGCTGATAGTCTCGAAACATTCTCATATGGAACTTAAGTAATGACATCGATTGTAATGATGAATAATAATTTTTATGCTTAACAATCCCATTAATC